CCCTCCATTAGTACTTAAATCATTGCAGATGTGCATTATGCATGGTTACATAGCTCCACCCTAACACCCACCACTTTATTGGCCTGTTTATTCCTCCATTATCTTTCTAATTTTAGCCGCAATGCACTGCGTTTGGGGTAAGTGCAACTCCTACAATCATATCCTTCATATAACCAACTCACTTTCGTCAAGCAGAGACAGCTCTGGGTCACTCAATCTTCGCATGTTTGCATATTTAATATTTTTCTGCTAATATGCGTTAATTTAGGGCTTTAAGAGAGATCCTGATTTTATGAATTCCCCAACCAAAAGTTGGAGGGTAGGCGTCAGACTTGAGACAAGTAAACCCCAACTTCGTGTAATTAGGGGAGAAAAGCCAACGTGTGTCCGTTTGGAAAGTCACTTATTTTCACCCCCAAATCTGTTTTAATGACGTCATTCGAAGTTCCCATAGATACCTGTTTGATTGCGATATTTTGTGCATGCCTTGAGTCAGATCTACACGAAATAGCTCAGTTGCCAATCTCAATATCCTCCCTTTAATTCCTGTCATTACTACAGGGTTTGTAGGCTAAGCTGGTATTAAAATCTCGGCAGAACTAAGGATTTACACGACATCACTTACTTTTGGCAAATTGACATCGTAAACTTCCTTTATCCATAAACCAATAGGGTTTCAAATATCATTGTAATGAAGTTTTCCTGTTTTGATCTTCACGCTACTTAGCCTGACGCAAATGCTGATTTTGAGAGGTTTCAAGGGCAGCCTTGAGTTGTATTAGCGTTTAAAACTTTACTCCGCTTTTATTCCTTTTGCGCTTAGCGCTGTTTGGCATAGTTGCTCTGCAGCGTGGCATTGTTGCATCAGTTGAAAAAATGCTCTTAATAAATCTATTATTTCATTTTACGTCTAAAAGTTTAGTTAAATAAGTTCCAGAAGCTTACTCACAGTTTTTACACACACACACCTGTCGAGATAGCAGGAGGCGAATTCAATTTGCATTAATGGCTCAGTGAAGATTATATGGTTTTGCGAGGGGGGGGGGGTTAGATAACGGCTTCCTCTAAAGTACTTGAAATTAGACAGAGCAAAGGTTAAAACAAGACAGGGGGAATGAAAATGATTCGACGAACTGAAGATTGTAGTTCCTAACAGTTACTTCTAGGCCCATCATTGCCATGTTGGAAAAGTTGACCCTTTCTATTTCAAGTTGCTCTGATTTAACTTACTACTTGCCTTCTTTGACATAGAATTTTCCTGGAAAAGCAATTAACTTGCCACATTAAGATCAAGTAACTTTAAACTCGGTCACAGAATATAGCTCCGAACCCCTCAAAAAATCCCTACACATATCCCGAAGTCATTGATATTACTAACAAGACATTCATGTTGTCGCTTGTTAAAATGATTACCAAATGCAAATACGCTTTCCTGATGAAACAATCCGAAGATCACAAAATCGTCTTCTTCATTGATTATTTTTCTCCCCTGTTGATAACGTATTAAGTGGGAACTCAAAAATCAATATTTTGAGGTGGGAAATCAGTTGAGAGGTTGGGATGCTTAGGCTACATTCTCTGTGAGAAAGAGTACATGTTGCTATTTTTAACAATTAAATCAAACTTCGTTTGTTAATAGGCCCCTCGTGAATCCCATTGAGGTAGATTTCAGGACACTGAGGAGAGGGATGTATTTTTCTAATGAGAATTGAAGCACGGTATCAAAGGCTTGTTCGGATATCTTTGAAACCACTGAATTAAAGAGGAGAAAATGCGGAGAAAGAGAGATATTGGTGATAATATAACTGGATAATAATAGTTAATGACTGCAGTCGATGATGCTACAACTATTTCGCATGATCTTGAATTAAGTAAAGTGAAATTGTAAATTCATATTTTTACAATTGCCTCAATAGAGAGAGAGAGAGATGAATTTTCGTTTTAGGAAACCGGCAACTAGTGCATCAGCCAAGAATCTGAACACCATAAAATCGCTGCGGGTACTGCGTGTTTTGCGTCCTCTAAAAACCATCAAAAGGGTGCCCAAATTAAAGGTGAGCCTTCTTGAACTATGCTCCACAATTTATTGTTTAACTAAATTGCGGTTATCGCGCTGAGCTGTTCTTCTTATCTAAAATGCCAAAAATTGCTTCAGTTTGACATAAATTAGGACCGAAATCCCGTGTTTAGAGTCCCGATTACTGCCTTTCTTAGTGAAAGCTTTCAGGTGGGAACCACTGTGACCGAATAACACTTTGGCTTGGGATCCCAATGATCACCTCATTTACAGCAGTCAGTAAAGTTTCAGTGATAGAAAAGAAAATTGATTGACTATTTTTGATTGAGTTAAAAAAACAAATCAAGATTTATGATAAAACTGCCACGGAGTTCCCTGCAATTTGAGTCATGGGGTCAGGTAATTTAATCATGAGTAGTATTTAATGCTTATCATGACTAAATTGTATGCCTTCCTTTAAGGCCGTCTTCGATTGTGTCTTGAGTTCCTTACGGAACGTCCTCAACATTCTCATCGTCTTCGTGCTCTTCCAGTTCATTTTCGCTGTTATTGCTGTCCAGCTCTTCCAGGGTAAATTTTTTTACTGCAACGATGCCTCAAAACTCACGCCAGAGGAGTGCCAGTAAGTTCCATTAGGTCTCTCAATCCTAGCTTCTCCGCCATGAGTGGTGTATAATTACCGCGATTACGTATTTGTAGGGGCCAGTACTTTGACTTCAATGCAGACGGCATTCCCACAACAGTTTGGAGGGAGTGGAAAGCTCATGGATTCAATTATGATAATGTCTTTTACGCCATGTTGACCTTATTCACTGTAACAACTGGAGAGGGTTGGCCTGGGTAAGTGGACTTACCTCTTTGCGTCACCATTTGCCTTTCACTCTCAAATTGGGAGGCTTTATTAACTGAAATGGCCTTATACAAGCCTTATACCCTTAAATCACTGACCCTCACCGGCTCAGAAACATTAGAAATTGTTGCCTTCTATCAATTTTCTCGACTACCTATCTGATTTCAGAGTTCTGAAAAATTCCATGGACGCAACCCATCAAAATCAGGGACCAATTGAAGATTATCAACAGCGAATGGCCATATTCTACATAACTTTCTTTGTAGTGTTCCCCTTCTTCTTTGTCAACATCTTCGTTGCTCTCATCATCATTACGTTCCAGAAACAGGGCGAGAACGAACTCATGGATTTAGAGCTGGACAAGAACCAAGTAAGCGAACCCTCACCTCCCTCACCTCCCTCCCCCCTCCCCCTTGGTGGTCAAATCTAATTTGCCTAGTTTAAAAGTAGTGCGTGTTTATTTAAATGATGCAAAACATACTTTAAACCAATTTGTTCATTACTGTTCTAGTGAAATATTGTACAAAAACATTTCATGCCTTTTATTCTCCACTCCCATTTTCTTTTATTTGTAAAACTGAAAGAGTTGTCTTTATTATGGGAAGAAATGTGAAATAAGTGGTTATGCAATTCAGTATTTTGCCAATTGGTATCCGAAATTGTCAACTATTTATCAGGAAAAGTACATTGGTTATTTCATGTTTACTTATCTACCAATCTGATCGAGAATTTGTCTGATGGAAAAACAGCCAATCACCAACATTTGTTGCTTTTTAATTGTTAGAGTGTGTGTGCACTTTATCCTGTTTATGAAGCTTCCAAAGTCCTTTAGCCGAAGAAGCGTCCGCAACACTTGCTATATCGTCTTCACTTTTGGCCAGAATTGAGCAGAGTGGTTAAGCATTCGTACCACTGGATGTTCGCTGATGCGTGTTGACTTTTCCACCCATGATTTGGTGGACGTGCGACTTGATCCTGTGCCACTGCTGCGCGTTTTTTTATGCGGTTTTTAACTCTTTTATTTTCCGTTAAAATGGTTGTCTCAGATCGGAAACTAAAAAAACAAATGCTTTAATTCGATTGAGAGCTCACCTAGGAAATTGCATGATTTATAAATCCGCATGGCGTTGCCTATACTATCCTTCTAGAAGATCGCAAAACTAGTATTTGAGGTAAAAACCCAACCCAACCTATAAGCCAAGGGAATATTTTGTAAAGGAATATGATACCAATAGAATGACGCCAAAGTTGAAGAGTTTATGCGTTGTTTGGATATACACAATTCCCATTAAACAGGTGGTAGTCAAATCACTAACCTGTCTCGCGCTGTTATCGTTATCTCGACCCAATTAGTCTGCACATAGAACTGCCGTCGGCCAGACATTTGGTTATCTTTCAACCAACCGCTCACTTTATCGGCTTTTAATAGTGTTAATGGTCTTTAAGCAAATAATTTCTCCTTGCGCGAATTATACCGAGTTTTTGAGCTCTATTTATGAAGGGAATATAACAGAATTCCTTACAACTCTTAGAAGTAGGCAGCAAGATATAGGAGTATTACTTAGTTAAAGTCTAATTGAAAGATAATAGTACTTGATACCGAAGTTGGTGCTAAGAAGGCATCTGAATCCATGCAGGTATCACTTTTACTCTCCTACCATAACCGTTGAATTTTTTATCGTCTTTAGAAGCGTTGCGTGGACTTCGCCATAAATGCGCATCCACTCTGTCGGTACATGCCAAAAAACAAGCGTTCGTGGAAGTATCGAATATGGCGGTTAGTGGTCTCGACGCCGTTTGAGTACTACATTATGGTTATGATTGCTCTCAACACTCTCATCCTCATGATGAAGGTGAGAAAGAGCCCTTTTTTAGCATCTAACACACACGTTTCATCTTGTCCAAAGTCCACTATTATGCTCCACTTTGTATGCCTAGTCAAACCTTCCTTGCCAGAATATTGCAGCACGATTACTAGTGCTGGTGTTACTCTGATTATCATCCAACTGTAAAATCGGCTTAATTAGATTAAAGACCACTTGCTTAAAGCGAGGTAAATTGAGTTTGGACTCAAATAAAATTGAATCCCAGATAGGGAGTAATTTAAAATACAGAGATGGACGCTCCCTTAAGCTTCCTAAGCTTGATTATGAAATGTGGATGGAAGTGACACCAAGCGACCACTGAAAGTGAGGGATTGGTTATCTAGAGGTCGATGCGAGAAGGGCAGGGAAATTCGAAAGAACTCAAAGGCAATTTCACAAGGGGCCGGAAATTTGGCGAGAAAGAGGTATGCTTTGGCTTGGTCTTGGGACTGGTCACATAAACGAATTTTCCGGAGGTGATGACCTAACCCCTGTTGAACTAAGTCTATTGCTCTCAAGCGGATTGAAAGCAGCTGTTTAGCACACTCATTTTAATCAGAATTAGCCATTGTGATAGCTTATCCCACCTAACATAATGAAGTTGTTCACCAAAACTCAGATATGTGGATGTCTAAGATAGTGATATAAACGAAAAATGTCTGGAAGGTTCCATGGGTGAAAAACTTGCACAAATTGGATTAAGAGTAGAGTATTTAGATCGACGCAGTTACCAATATTTTTATCATTATTTCCAGTATTACTTTTGTTTGTCAGATGGTCAAATTCTCTGCACTTAGTTATAATTTTTGCCTTTCATCTGAATGACTAATTGCTTGGATCATTATTATAGGCCAGTAATAAAGAATGAAAATGGCAGGTGAGCAACTTCGAACTATTTTCCTAATTAAATTCATATAATGAAAATTTAATCATTCGTCTCAAAAAAATATTAGCTTCATCCCACTATTCACCTTTTCATTAATTTTCGCTTGTAATTAACCACAATAACTGATAGTTCTCCCAGTTCTTGGTAAAAAAATCTTTACACTTAATTTCAGTACCACCGACAAGAGAGGCGACCCTCAGTGGCAATAAATATCGATACTGCTCAACAGAACTACCACAACTACTGCAACACCCTGATTTTTCTCAATTCCGCTTTTACGATCATGTTCTCTGTGGAATGTATTCTCAAAATCATGGCATTCGGGCCAAAGGTGGGTGAATGGGCTAACCAATAACCAATCAGAACAACGGGTTTCCTCCCATTCGCAACTGATTGGCTGGAAAGAGTTTGCCCATTTAGCTTGATCGCTTTGAATAAGCGTTGCATTTTGTTCTGAGATGATTTTTAGGAAAAAAATAGGCCTCTGTGTGAGAGTTGAACACTTCGAACGAACGTATTTACGTAATACAGGCAAGCAAATCTTGAGTGTGTCCATTTAAAATCGAAATAGCAAGTAAATGTACCTACAATAAGAGGGAGGGAGGGGGTTCGGAAGAGATGTGTAAGGTGGAAGGGGATACACGACAAGAAGCGTAAGTAGTATCTCAGCCTCACTTAATTTCTAAATGCTGATATTCGCGCTTGATTTCTTAACTGAAACCTTTCTCTACTCCCCCACCCTACTCCTCATTCTCTTTCTCTCTATCTTCCAATGTGTAATTAGTAAGCATTCAGTTCTTCACATAGCTCAACATTATTCAGAAAAGCTAAAGGTACACGGCTGATTTCGTAGTTCCTTAGAACGGGAATGCATTACCGATATTTATTTTGAAATCTTTAATATTGAATTTCATAATCTCCATAGAACTTGATATCTCTATAAAAGGGACCATCTGAATTCCATAGGGCGGTTAAAGTGGAATGATTAAATATAACCTTGAATCCGATTAGTACTAAGAAGGGTATGAGCGCTCGGATACTCAAATATTAATAATAATAATGATTTGTTTGATTGATGATTCACCTTGACAACATCTTCGCCTCCGTTACACTCATCTCCATGGATGAGCTAGCGGCAGTCTACGGGAGCTTTGGTGAGTTCCACAGGCGTTATAGATTAAATCTGGGAAAACAAGACATTGTATCGAAGAGTTGCAACTCTTTAATGTGGTCCCTGTTTTTCATATTTGACTGTTGCCACCTTACTTGTTAACTCAAAGACAAAACAGCTAAGAGTGACCTAAATTGTACTTTTTGTGTTTCAATTTCAGAATTACTTTCGTGACCGTTGGAATATCTTCGATTTTATTACTGTAATTGGTAGTATCACGGATGTGCTCGTTTCTGAATTACAGGTAAGAGCACTCTGGCATATATTATTTATTTATTTATATCAAATGGCAGGCGTCTTGATGGTTATCATTAGCCCTTTAGTTGACTTCAGGTTTCACAGAGGGGAAGGAACATCAAAGTGAAACAAATCGAGAGGGAGAGGGGGAACAGAAGATAGTTTCAAAGATGAAAAGGGGAAAAAGGTGAGGTGAGTACTGTGGAAGTGGTCGAATATGACATACAGTGGAGTCATGGTAGTTTGAAGTGAGAAGTCAACTGCCAGTTAATAGACTTTTTTGCCGTATGAGTATACGTTGCCCAGGGTGCACCACGTGGAGGTAAGTCTATCGCACACCCCACTCTGGCATATATATTCGATGTGAATGTTTAATCCTATGTTTGCTTCAATACGAATATTGGCATCTAATTGGGTCATTTATTTTGATGGCAATTTTTATTGTGTCTGTGAATTTAAATTGTACCTGCTTTTCTGATACCTGAAAATCTGATGTTGAGACGTCTAAACTCTTCTGGCAACTCTTAACAGACATATTTAATTATGATGTTGATCTATTTCTCAGGTACCTTCATCAGGTTTCTGCTTAGAATTAAATTAATCGGTCACGTTGGGAAGTTCAGAAGTT